GCTCCAGAGTTCTAATTAAAGGGATTCTATCACTTCTATAGAAATTCCCACTATGAGACAGAGCAGTGTGGGTTTTAACAAGTACATTTTTTTTTTTTTTTACACGCTATTATTTTAAACCATTTGGGTGGTAAAGCACATTTTTTGCTTTTTATTTGAGCAGATATCCAAGTGATACCTCTGATCTCCCAATATAGCAACCATTGACCTCTAATAATATCCGAAAAGCTGCCTCGTGGGTGGCCGACGTAAAACGAATATGCAGACTGTCTCCCAAACAATGGTTGGCAAGACAAAACGCGTGCAAGATTTGGTGTTTTGATGCTATCTTGTCACATGTTTCCTGTTTATGGAATTGGAAATAGCCTGCCAAAAGTCACATGGTTACTGTAACTATGTATTGGCGCGATCAGTCCTATGTCATACTATTCTAGAATTCTCCTTATCACTAAAAGTCTGCTCTAAAAAAAATGGGGGTGGATGCTGTGTCAGTAAATGTTTCAGTAGAATTGTTCAGTTAAAGGGCACCCATCAATGCAGTCATTTCTTCTCCTCTGGAATCTACCGCATTGAATCAAACATTACTACTTTTAACCTTATTAACCGGATATGTTCTGTTTTCTTTTAAAGTTCTTTTAAATACTTAGCAAATGGCATAATAATGCAGTTCAGACAAGGCAAACATTTTATCATAATAGGATTTGTTCTTCTTTTCTCTGAATGCTTTCTCTGTGCTGACTGCCGGGTCCGAACGACTGAGATTGGAGCAGTGATTGAAAGGGAGATTAGATGGAGGGGCAGTTCTAGCTCATTGGCTGAAAGCATCATCTGATCACTCTCAGCCAATGAACTAAGACCTGCAATGCTGGACATCGCACAAACCGAGCGCTGCTAACTCTCTGGCTGATGTAGTGGAGGCAGGGAGAGGTGCTTGGGTGATACCTGGTAATAAGTCTAACGGTTCTAAAACAGTTTTAATACTTACATTTAGGGGGGCACCAGTGCATTCCTAGCACCATATCCACTACAGTGTGCCAAAGTGATTATTATGTTTTGAGTGAGACAACTTTAGCATGGGGGCCCTAAATAACAATAAGGGGGGAGAACCTATTGTCCTCCCCCCCCGACCCCCACCCTTGAGCGGTGGGTAGGGGCCCTAAATAAGAAGGTTGGGGGGGTGACCTACTGTCCCTGCCCTCCCCCCCCAGCCCCTACCCCTGCGCAGAAGGTGGGGGCCCTAAACACGAATGTGGGGGGGGACCTACTGTCCTCCCCCCTTAGCCCCCAATCCATAGTGAATTTCAAATTTAAGGCCAAAGTAGCCAAACTGAAAGCATATCGGATTAAGATCAATTTTGCAGTTAGACTATTTTTGACTTGAGTTTGAAATTCACTTTGAGTTCTCACGTTAGTGGATAGCCCTGTTAGCATATTGTAATTAGTTGAAACTGTATGTTCTCTAAAGTGCCATCATTACTCGATTGCATGGCCGGTTCCGTGTAAAAAGCAATTAGACAAAACCACATCAAAGAGCCAGTTTAATGCAGTCTGTACAAACTTACATTTTACCGAAATATAGGGGAAATTTTTGGCTTAACACGCAATCCCAGCATTCTCCCTACATGTGCTGGATACTGATAGACCGAGAGGAAGTTCCCAGAGCCCCATTGCCATTCTCAGACATGCAATAAATTTGTCAATAATTAATGATAGAGGATGCGCGGTGTGGAACTATAATTGCTCCATTCCTTTTCCTGTTCATGGACTTTATTATTAATTCAGAAGATGAGACCTATTTCTTCTTCCCGTTTTCATGTTGGAATCTCTTCCAGAGACCCATCATGTTACACCCCCAAACCTCACGTCCTCATCACCCAAAGTCCTGATTAATAAGTTCTGGCTGTGGCACTCCAGATATCTGTGAACTGCATTTCCCATAATGCTGGGCCAATATTTAGTGCCAAGGATAGCCAACACTTCTTCCTTGCTTGAAATCGACTAGTGATAACTCCTTGTGTCCTGTTTTTTTACAACCATCAACCCTACGTGCAACTTTAACTATTCCCTGTTTAAAACACCTATTCCTTCATGTACCCTTGTACACTGTTCTTTCAAGCCATTCCCGTGCAATGCTTACATGGGGCCTATTCACTAAGCTGTGAATTGTGCAGAACAGACAAAGTGCAAATTTTAGGCCAATACTCCTAAACTTGAAAAATGTGAGTTGCCATTTTGTCTAAAAACTTCTATTTTATTTCTTTGCAATTCCTATTTTACTAAATAAACCCACTATCTCTCTACATCTGAATTCTTCACTTACACTCTATTTTAACAAAAATCCACGCATTCCAGCTTTTTTTTTTTACTGATAATATCCCATAGGCAAGGCCTCCAGGTTATAATTCTTCGATTTTATATATTTACATACTCATAAAGCCTATTCAATTCATCCTTGAAAATATTCCCAGGATAAGTGCATTATTTTTACCACTATGGATGGGTCACTTTGAAACATATCTTTTCCCTGTGGAACATGTTAAGTGTTCCAGTTCAGCCCTCCACAACACTGCATGACGCATGACTTCCATTCTAAGAGGCAGCTATAATTAGAGCAATTGCCGGAGTGAATGAGGACGGAGGCCATACTTACCTCCACAGCCTCCCCTAGTGGCAGGCCTTACATCACTGTCTGTGATCACATTTGTACACTGGGAGTGATGTCATGCACAGGGGTTATAACCTTTGGTCGTGCGCCTCTTCAATAATTGAAAGAAAATCATGTTTTTTCAATCAATGGCGGATTGCTGTTAATATTTACTATGACTCTCAGACATCCACCATAACTCCCAACAGCAGGGTATACCATTGAATGACCACGGGTTGTCATGGGTTAAAAGCATCCTTACAACTACCATTAGTATTATATATAGAGCTCATGAGGACGTCCAACGTCTTACAAAACCCCACAGGAAAACATTTAGTTAATGCTTTCATATGGCCTAGTGCGTGCGAGGCACTTGCCGCGCATGCTCATTAGGTCCCCAGATAGTGCTAATGTCAGAAGTGTTAGGGGACGTATCCAGTGCCAAGGGACTTCCGCGCTGGAATTTGGTAAGGGTTTTAGGTTGTTGTTTTGTGTTTTTTTTTAACCTTTTTATAATGTTTTTTTATACAGTGGTGAATTCCCAACACTATAGTGTTTGTTTAATTTATAAAAGTGTTAATTTCTATTGAAATCTGCACTTTTTGTAAAATGGAAAAAAAAAAAAAAGGAGGGCACACTCTTGACGCATAATGCTTTTCAGCAAGCTAAAGTGCTTTAGGGGTCTGAAGTGTCCCCTTAATATAGTCTGGACTGCATAGATTCCCAACTATTTACAACGATAAAAGCTTGGGTCCTTATGGTGATCTCGCTTAAGTGCTATAGATCAAACAGTGCTCCTGTAAGGATCATTAGAGTTGATACAAATATGGAGGCAGAAACTTTCCCCACTTGTGAAACATATAAATCTCTGTTAAAATAAATAAATAACGATCATACAGAATGATTCTTGCAGGTAGTGACAATCCCACATGCAAATTGGTTAGAATTCGTTGTAGTTAAACATTTGCCTTTGGTGACATTACGGAGAGTCAGGTAACAGCGTGTTAAAGCGCCTTAAATTTCTAAAATCTGTACAGATAGTTTGCTCTAATTGCTGTTAGTGTAACAGTTCTTTGAATTAATTGTGTGATTGTATCACTGGGTGAGTTCGCATGGACAATCTTATCTTCAGTTACCCAGAGTAAGTCTTTTGTTTACTTGCAGCCATCTCTGTAGAGGGGCATCATGGGAAATTGTGATCCAGAATCCCGTAGAATGCCCGTTTTTTTTCTAGGGTCCTAGTCCTGTTTTATGTGGTCTCTTTATAGCAGATGACACGGTAATCTATGCGAGCAAATCCGATCTACCGCAGCTTGAGGCTGTGCTCCAAGATCCGTTTACAGAGGTAGAAAAGTGGATCGCAAAAAACAAACTCTTCCTAAACACTGACAAAACTGTCACAATGATCTTTGGAAAAGTACCTAAATTACACAAATTACACAATTCCCACCTATCCATCAAAACAAATTCAAATGGCACACTGACCGCAGCCCACTCTTTCAAACACTTGGGTATGATGTTAGACCCCAATCTATCTTTTGGCCTGCACATAGAAAAGCTTGCATCTAAACTTTATCCAAAACTAGGTGCCCTGTACAGAAACAAATCCTGTCTAAGCCGTACAATAAAGGAAAAGATTGTACAGCAAATGCTGATGCCAATCATTGATTATGGGGATGTAGTATATGCATCTGCATCGCAATCCCACATTAATAAACTCAACACATTGTTTAATTCATTTTGCCGATTTCTGCTACAATGTAATTACAGGACTCACCATTGTGACATACTAAATAACTAAACTGGCTGTCACTGGAATCCAGACGCACCCTTCATCTTTCCAGCCTTGTGTTTAAGAGCTTTTCTGGGAAACTCCCACCCTACCTGAACACAATACTTTCCCCAGCTGTTCCCAATTCCTATAACCTCCGATCCAGTACCAACACTTTACTTAGTCTACCTCAATACAAAAAGAAAGCAGTCCGATCCACCTTCTCCTACAGAGCACCGCAATTGTGGAACGACCTCCCGCACAATTTAAAATCTTCCCTAAGCCTAAAGTCCTTTAAGAGATCCCTCTCTACATACCTCAAAACAGAATGCACCTGTCATGGTTGATTATATATTTCCTACCTGTTTCTACCTGTTAAATTTTGTATTTATTGTGTATTAATATCGTTTTTGTATTTTATTGTACCCTAATGTAACAATGCAATGATTTGTGGACCCAGGACATACTTGAAAACGAGAGAAATCTCAATGTATCTTTCCTGGTGAAATATTTTATAAATAAATAAATAGCTGGGCAGTGGCTCCTTTAAGGGTTAAGTCCATTTTATCATGAGGATACCAGATCATGCGCAATTCTGCTTCATCTTCGGTGCAATCCTTCCCATCCTCTGCAGACAAAGGGTTCATTCTGTGCTGGAATTTAAATGACTTCGAATTTCCTACACATCTTATAGTAGGGTTAAAGGTCCTCCTGGGATCTTCCTTAGTTAACACTGGAAGCAGAGCTGTGGGTTTGTCTTCCCAGCACAAACAATGCTTTAATTTTATTTCTAATTTTTTTTTTTTCTGGTTTGGCGGGAAGGGTGGGTGATCCATGTATTTTACATATTTGTTGATTTTTTTTTTTTTTTCTTAATGAATTTGCATGTGACTGTCTTAGTGCTGAGCGTGTGGGCAGCTAACATGACGTACAATCATTTACAAAGCTCCTGCTAGTTTGCAACTTTGCAAGCAAATTATAAGGTAGTCTGCCCACATCTCTGTTTTGGGCCTCCGTTACTACAGCAACTGTAAGTTTAAGAGCTCACTCCCTGCTGGAACAAAACCGCCAAAGCGTGGCTGCTCCCCACTACAACTCCCAGCATCCACAGCCGTTGCCAAGCACTAGATCAGGGTTGAGTAAATTGGCTTACAACCAATCCTCATGGCAGGCCAAAAACAGACGGTGGCTATTTGCCCATTTCTAATGGAATTCTTGAATCTTTCTGATGTGTAGTGATACACACAGCTGGCAAGCTTCTCCCCAAAGCTAAGCTATATCATTTTCATGTTTTAATTAAAAACTGTGCAGGTCGTACGTGGAATATAAACCGATGTTTAATTATTTCTTCATATGATTTGTTTTTCAATTTAGCTCCCTTGCTATGATAATATTTCTGCTGGCTTGCTGCTTTTCTTTTTTTATTGTCCTCTCCCCATCACTGCTTGTAGGATTTATTATTGTACTTGTGAACATTAAATCTTCAGGACATGTTGCAGCAAAGCTTGTGCAGGCTGTGAATTAGTGAGGCCGTGGTTCTCTTGTGCCGCACTGCAGTGTGGGAATGAAAGATTAATCTGACCCTCTTCTGTCTGTTTTGCAGGTGGGAGAATCTGTTCGTTTTCTCCTTGCATAGAGCAAGTCCAGAGAACCTGCCGATCCCTGGAGGAACACGGATTCACCGATATCAACACCTTAGAAATTCTCCTACGAGTGCATGACGTACGGACTATTAGTATGCAAATTCCCGATCTCGGGAAACCTTCTGGGGACAGAGCGAGTCCAGCATCTGAAGGCAACGAGGGGTCCAAACAGATGTCTGCATCCCAACATCCATGTGAAACATTCAAAACTGGAGTTCCACCCAGAGAAACAGTGGGTCACACAGGGTACCTGACCTTCGCCACCAAGAATTTATTTTAGAATTTTCCCAGTAGACTGTACATCTCGCACACGACAAACCCATATATAGCCACGCTTCACTCAAGAATGCATTTGTATAAACATCAGGCATACACAGAGCTGGACTGGGTTTGCGTTAGTTTTCCACCGATGCAAAATGACAAGTGTGCATGTTTATCTGTCAAAATGTGACAATAATAAAACTCTTTACCATCATGTCGTAGGTGATCAATAATGGATGGGGGATCAGCTTTTTGAAACGGTTACTGCATCTGTTGCAGCAGAAAAATTGCTTTTGGATGAATTATTTTATTTTTATATTGTACTGCGGCAATGAAAGGGTTTTATTTGGGTTAAAAAAATAAAATAAAATGACAAATTCATGAAAGGTAGCTTTGGAATGCCGTTGATTTTAGGCGATTCTGTTTAAACTTTGTATTTAATCAGGTTTATTCACCAACGTGAGAATTGCAGGAAATTTAGAGCGAATCCCATATGCAAGGTTAAAATAGCCAAACTGGAAAAATTCTCCCAGTCAGCCATGCGTTCAGTTTGGCTAATTTGGCCTTTCATTTGAAATGTACTTTAAATCTCTGCAATCCCCACTTCAGTGAATAACCCTGTAGATGTCCGTAAACTACGCTCATCCGGACTGGAGGCTGGTTGAGCGTTATGGGAACTGTCATTTACCTATATCTAGGCTGCCCTAGTTAACCATCGCTGATCCAGGCTGTTTGTGACATATATGATGAGACCATCGATCGCCTTGTGCAGCAGTGATCTGTATTCTACTGCATTGCGTTCCTCGAACTCTCTGATCCCTAAATCTCTGCTGATTTCTGGAGCTTGTAACTGAATGAATGTACAGTCTCTCTGCCCCTGGCATGCTTCCTTCCCTTTTTTAGATGTTGAAGCCAGAGCTTGCTGAATGGCCACATATGGGAGCGTGTTCAGTTGGGGTTTGCCCTTATTAGTATATAGAGCAACCCAATGACTGTCTGTCATAGTACGGAGTATCCCTGCTCCATATCTAAGGGAAAGTTCAAACAGCTAATAGATGCATACTTGCAAAAACAGAATATTCAAGGATATAATCTTTCAATGTAGGATAATAACTGTTTGATCCAAGGATCAATCTGACTGCTATTCTGGGGTCAAGAAGGAATTTTTTTCCTAGCTTGTTGCAAAATTGGAAGTGCTTCAAACTGGGTTTTTTGCCTTTTTTTGGATCAACAGCAAAAAACAAATGTGAGGAAGGCTGAACTTGATGGACCAAGTCTCTTTTCAGCTGTGTAACTATGTAACAGAAAATCCTTCCTGTTCTCCTGTGCAGTTTTTTCCTAATTAAGGAAAAAGTAAAATCATTTAAAAGTAACCAATTAAAGTAAGTTTGCCACTGCAAGGTACAAGGCAATGCTATTCAGCATTGATAGTATTAGCTAGGGGTTTTAGAAATAGGGTACATCAATCAGTTCTGGCTGACACAGAAGTTTCCAATAGTTGCAGGTGCCGTACTATAGAGCATGGTAGGCAACATTCGGCACTCCAGGTGGACTACATCTCCTCTGGCGCTCTGCCAGCATTATGGGTGTAAGAGCATTATGGGAGGTGTAGTCCACAACATCTGGAGTGCTGAAGGTTGCCTAAACCTGCTATAGAATATAGGACACATTTGTGAGCACATTTAATTAAACCTCTGACAGTTTAACTGATTTTTCTCCAGAGTCCCAGAGAAACGGGACATGAAAAAAAACAATTCACTAATTAGAACAGTCCCTGCAGATTCGGGACAGTTGGCAGCTATGAGTCAAGAAAAAAATGTTAATTTACTAAAATGCCCGCTCACTGACCTCACCGTAAATAAATGTGCAGATTGTTCCAACTGCTTTGTGTCACGACAGCACACGAAAGCACAATTTCCCAGTTCCGCTTTATGTCCTGCGTCCCGGACACTGACCATGTTCAGCGGGCTGGGTCATTTGTGTTGGCTCTAACGTTTTGTATGCAAACGAAAGCTAAATAGCAGATGTGTGTGCAGCTGGATCTCACACCAGCTGCCTCCTTACTAATCGATAGCGCAGACTGATGTGCTATGTTGGCTTGCTGTGTTCTCAGCAGTAATGTCACCTAAATCTTTTATCTGCGGGTGACTCAACAGCGGATTCCCTCTGCAGAGGTTTAATTACCTTTGATATTTTCCACCATGACTATTGAACACTGTTAACAGGATTAATATTCTGTGTTATGATTAGTAGGAAGCTGTCCAGCATTGAAACAGTTAAGAAAATGATCTTTAGCTCAGCAATTCTGTCTGAATAGTAACACATGGCAGAGAGCCCGAATGATGTATAATCTGTGACTGTGTAAGTTGGGGTTACATATGGGGAGGCATAACTCTCAAGTGTCCCTTTTTAGGAGGGGCAGTCCCTAATTTGCCGACATCTTAGTATACCTCTTTCTGGGAGCTCCATTTTATTGGTGTGTCTGAGTTTATAACAGAGCTCCACAGCAATATAACTCCCAGTAATGTGTCTCAGTGTATAACAGAGCTCCACAGCAATAATACTCCCAGTAATGTGTCAGAGTGTATAACAGAGCTCCACAGCAATAATACTCCCAGTAATGTGTCTCAGTGTATAACAGAGCTCCACAGCAATAATACTCCCAGTAATGTGTCTGAGTGTATAACAGAGCTCCACAGCAATAATACTCCCAGTAATGTGTCTGAGTGTATAACAGAGCTCCACAGCAATAATACTCCCAGTAATGTGTCTAGGTGTATAACAGAGCTCCACAGCAATAATACTCCCAGTAATGTGTCTGAGTGTATAACAGAGCTCCACAGCAATAATACTCCCAGTAATGTGTCTGAGTGTAAAACATAGCTCCACAGCAATAATACTCCCAGTAATGTGTCAGAGTGTATAACAGAGCTCCACAGCAATAATACTCCCAGTAATGTGTCAGAGTGTATAACAGAGCTCCACAGCAATAATACTCCCAGTAATGTGTCAGAGTGTATAACAGAGCTCCACAGCAATAATACTCCCAGTAATGTGCCTGGGTGTATAACAGAGCTCCACAGCAATAATACTCCCAGTAATGTGTCTGAGTGTATCACAGAGCTTCACAGCAATAATACTCCCAGTAATGTGTCTGAGTGTATAACAGAGCTCCACAGCAATAATACTCCCAGTAATGTGTCTGAGTGTATAACGGAGCTCCACACCAATAATACTCCCAGTAATGTGTCTGAGTGTATAACAGGGCTCCACAGCAATAATACTCCCAGTAATGTGTCTGAGTGTATAACAGAGCTCCACAGCAATAATACTCCCAGTAATGTGTCTGAGTGTATAACAGAGCTCCACAGCAATAATACTCCCAGTAATGTGTCTTTAAACTACAATAAATGCGTTTAGAAATCAGTCTGTGTTATTAAAATACATTGTTCTTGTTCTAAATTACATTTTAGTTGCATAAACGGTTAATTGCTTAAACTGGTAAGCCACCTAAAATCTCTCAGAGCAGCCACACCCCTAAAATGAAAGAGTCCCTCTTTGTCCATTTGAAATGTTGTGAGGTATTCACACAGGATGGTAAGAAGCAATCTTTGTGGATTCCAAGTCACGTACATTCTTGTGTTTTCGATTCCAGGAAATCTGTTCAAGACTGGGAGTTAAATTCTGTGCTGGAGACCACATGCAGCACATATTACATTTAAAGTGAAAGCAAGCGATTTTTAATTTTATACTCCCGTATCCCCGCGTATACAATGTGTTTCTGGGCTGAAAAAAATAATTAAATGTAAAAATTGACATTGATGTATAACCAGGACCTAACTAGTATGTGATTTCACTTGGTAAATCTTTAATATGCTTTTAAACAAAATGGAGAATCACACGGGGGAGGGGGGAAATCAGCACAAGTTAATAGGTTATTTTCAATGTTTTATTAATTAATAGGGAAGTGACAATTCCCCTTTAACTGCTGAGATGTAGCATACAACTCCCATGATGCTTTGCATGCTTTTAGAATGACAAAGCATCATGGATGCTGTAGTTTGAAAACATCTGGGGATCTACCTTTTGGGTACCCCTGCATTAGCGTGATGGTTGACTAATAACGATACATTGATTGCTTACTTTCTGGAGAAATGCCTTGAAAACTTTTGGGATCCAGACTTGGTGTTTAGAAATATAGATTTTTCCCAAACCACAGATTTATTTATGCCTCGTCTCTGCTGTTTACGAACATCTGGATTATATGAGCAGTTTTAGGTCGGTGACGGGTAACTGATTTATTGCAGAAATTTAAAACCACCTCTTTTTATATATATATATATATATATATATATATTTATTTTTTTTTTTTCTTCTAAGACAGTGCTTGTAACTTAATAAAGCACTGGAAAATAATTTTCCATTTAAAATCCGATTTATTTCCAAATAAAAGCACCTGTTAACTTTTTTTTTTTTCAATTCACTTAAAGCACGGAGTACATAAACATAGAGCTTTTAAAATGTAATCTATAATCGATAGGGAATACATTAAATAACAGCTGCCTGCGGATAGCAGCCTGCCGGAAAAAATTGCTTAAATCTGGAAATCTGCAAAGAGCTTCCTTTTATTAGCTGTTGCCTAAAACACTGGCTTAATGTCTCCCTGTTACTATTAGCAGATAATTCCCCACCGTGGCTGCTAGCCTTCGTTAGAATAAAGTGTTAAAATTCATTGTGTTGCAGGCATCAATTTCTGACAAACTCCAAAAAAAAACCTGAGCTGATGGAATCAGAAAAGATAAACAATTCCGAAGATTATCTGCTCCAGGCAATTCTCGTGTGATATTCCAACTTTCTTATTTGTCATCTTCTGAGGTTCTGTTGCTGGTTACTTTTTAAATTTTTATAAAACCATAATAAATGCAAAGGATTTCATCTGTTGTTGAGTCAAATTTCCCAGTATGGTAACATATGCTATGTTTAGTTATGTGGACTGAATTGTGATGCTCCGTAAATGTT